TTTTTACATTAAAATGAATAGGAATGATTTGGGACCACACTAAAACGTCGTATAAATGTAAACGTCGTATAAACGATGCTCCACTGTATATATATATATATATATATATACCGGAGGAGAGTCATAAACTGCTGAAAGTTCATTCCACAGATCGAGTGTCTTAGCATTCTTGTACTTGTGTTTCCTCAAGAAATTCTGAAACAAAAAAAAAAAGAAATTCTTATTTTTCTGAGATAAAATGAGCAATAGAAAAACAAGTTTACAGATGAGAGTTCTTTAAATCAATTCTTCAAAATTAAGTTTTGAAATGACCACTTCTCAAACTTATGAAAAACTCGCAAATTTCATCTCCAGACTTTTTAGTAATGCATATAATCAAATAATCACAACATTAAATGAAGGAAATAAAAATGGGATTTCCTTAAATATCGGTTTTAAAATGGAAAAAAAAATGGAATATACAAAACAAAATAAGGATAATACAAAAAATGGATAATATAAAACAAAAAATTCCTAAACTCCGCAGGTTTTTTTTTTAAAGTTAATAGTCATTTATGGTTTGCTTTTTTCTTCTAATTCCTGTGTTTTATGTTTTACGATATTTCCTTAAACTAGGAGGCTTCGCCCCCTGCTCGCTTGCGCTCGCCAACACCCGGAGCTGCTTTCGCAGTTCATTTCGGATTGCTTCGCAATCCGATGCTCGCTTTGCTCGGTCCTTGGATACGTTCTTAACGTCTAGCTTTTGTATACTTTTTTGAACACTGAAATTCCGAAAATTTTTGACTGTAGAAAATTCTAAACCAGTGCATTTCAATATTAATTTGAAATTGCAAACAGTTCACATATTTTTCTTAATCACACTATTCTAAATTTCAGTTGTTGAGAAAAGTAACTGTTGTAAGTTTTGTTTTAAAGTCTTTCCCACCAGAGGGCTGTAACCATGTGTTGTAAAACAATATGAAAAAGTACTGAACGCCGAATGTAAAGCATCGGCTTCGATGAAGATAATTTTGTGAGAATTTTTTTGATAATTCGGTGAGAGTTCACCCGATTAGACATATGATGCTCACTACGTGCTCTTGCTCGCCGAAGCCTATCAATTAAAACGTATTAACGCTTTATATAATATAGATTAGCCATATGATGCTCACTACGTGCTCTTGCGATCCGATGCCTATAAATTAAAAATGAAAACTGTTGCCAGCGCGAGAAAGGAAATATCATCGGTTTTATTGATACATACGTAAGTATTAGCGTTTTATAAAATGTAGATATTGTGTGTTAACAAAAACATTTATAAATATTATACACTGTTATTCACTGTATTCTTTAAAAAATGATAATATGTCATTTGAATGGGAAAAGACAATGAACACTCAATATAGTCCATTTTGCAATTTTTTTTGAAGAAATGTTTTATTCTTATTCCACTCACTTTTTCAGTCTGAAAAAAATACTTGAGAACTAGTGCTTGCTTTAATGCATTCACTTCAAATACTAAAATGATTTTTTTTTCGTCTATCCTTAATTTAAATAATGCTTATGAAAGAATACACAGAAAATTTACATAATGCTTACAGATATTCCATTTCTAAAATTTTCTTCCCCTATGAAGAATTCCATCATTCTCAAAATAGAAGCTCCCTGTAGAAAAAAAAAGATTTATTTAAACCATATCATAAGGATTTTTCATAAGGAAGTATTCGATTCACTACATCTTGAAGTCTTATCTTAGTTTTTTTTTTTTTTTTTTTTTTTTTTTTTGAATAAATTGCGTGAACACATTTATAGTTAAAATTTTTTTTCCTAGTGTTGTTTACAAATAAGAACCGACTACAAAAAGTTTTGAGGCCAATTTTGATTCAGAATCATTCTTCCTGATGCTAATCTAGGGCAACATTTTTTGTTTTATCATTTTCTAAGAAACAAAAATTTTGGGTTTACGATTCTTAATCTTCAACTCCGTACCTTTGTAGTTTTAAACCCAATCCAGAAGACAAAGGAACTCCTAGATCAAGCATGAGGGAAAATTTGATTCGTGAAGGACTTTTTGGAGGAACTAACCCACATTTGCGTTACATGGAGAGGAAGACCACGAAAATCTCCCACGGTTAGCCTTAAGGCAGGGGATTCTAACCCATGATCCGTCTACCACTGAGGATATTTTACATCCCCACAGTGGCACTGATTTTTATACATACATCTGAAACTCTCGCCTCCCGATGAGATGAATCAGGTTCGAATCCCGGCGATGCTTGGTTGATTCGAATACCGCACCGACTACAGTGCTGACGTAAAACATCGTCTGTGGTAGACGGATCACGGGATAGAGTCCCCTTGAGGTCAGGCTAACCGTTGGAGGTTCTCGTGGTTTTTTCTCTCCGTGTAACGCAAATGCAGGTAAGTTTCGTCAAAAAGTCCTCCACGAAGGCACATTTCATCCAATACTTGATCGAGGAGTTCCTTTGTCTTCTGAATTGGGTTCAAAATGACAAGGCTACGAAGTTGAACATTGGTAACCGTAAACTGAAATTTCGGTCTGCTGTTCAACGATGGTTATAAAATATTAAAAATACATCTACTGTACATTGTGCAAAATGTGTGCAAGTAAAGGGTTAATGAATGGTTAAGAAACTCACCTTTTTGTATGAGATGCTGTCGAATATCGCCGTTATTTCGTCAGGATGTTTGACGGATTGAACTATAGGATGAGAACTCATAGTTGAATCCAGATTCATGACTGGCTGTAAATCTTCAGACACAAACTGTGACATCTTTTAAAGAGGAAGATACGAACAAGGATTAATACATTTTGAAAGGTAAAGAAATTGACAAAAATTATTGTACCCAAACTATTGAGTTGATTTTCGTAAGGACGCGCTGTGACATGTATGAACTTGATTATCCTCTTCCCTGTCCATCCCGAGTTAACTGGGGTATGTTTATATTGCAAATATTTATTATTCCTAGAAAACTCGGGCGTTGCAGAACTTGTCGGTACGTTTTGTATTATCACTTTCTTACTCTGCTGGATGAACAAAATAAAAAAATCTGCCGTGATTGGAAGTTTGCTAAGTTTTGAAAGTTTTATTGTTGGTTTGTGGGATTGCGCGATTGTGTATACGATGGTTCCTGAATTTATATATATAAAAAAAATAGTAAGAAATAGCGTATCACTTCACTTATGCTTGGAATATTTTGTTTAACTTGATTTAAATACTCATACAAAGATTAATATTTATCTTTTTTCATTTGCCCGAAATAAATCGGTATAGTATACGGATGGTAATGAACTAAATGTTTTTTACACAAAAAAAAAATTTAAATTTCAACTTAAAACTTATGCATTATGTTTCGTTTTAGTTTCTAATATTTATTAATGAAATATGTAAATTTTTGCATTTTGTTTTCAAAAAAATTGATAAGGGAAGCGGTTTATAAATTTTCTCACTCCTATCAAAACATCCCAAGCCAACAATTATTAAAATTGGCTCCATATGGTTCCCATATGAATATGCTCCGAGGGACCAATATTGGGATGTTTAAATTTTTTAATATGGGTCCTATGTAGTGTCAATATAGGCCCATATAGGGTCAATATAGGACTTATATTGTCTTAATAATGAATATTAAATATCAGGTGAATCTGACGATTCTTTAGAGGGCCGATATTGGTTGTAAAGTGGCAGTAGAATATCGGGTTTATCGGACAATTCTATAAAGGGCCGATATCTGAAAAATATCGGTCTTTGAACCCTTATTGAGCCAAGACTCGTGAATATTGGTTCAATGAGTGCCTAAGTTATTTTGCTGCTTTGAGATTTTAGTATAATACTATCATTTTAACAATTTTCTGAATTTTTTAGATTTAATTTCATTGAATTTTCTAATTTTTCAAATTATTCCTTTTCTAACGGGATAAAATTATGATTAAAATCTGTACAATAAGATAAAGAAAATGTATTAAGATGAGTTTATCACAATCTCAGCAAATCCATTAAAAAAACTATCTTTACCGGCTTATACTGTGCTGTGCAAAACCTGAAATTTTTGCTTTTCCCAAACACAATAATGTGCGGAAAAAAATTTATGACTTTCTTTAAAAATAATATTAACTATTGTTTAAAATTATTATGTAATAGTAATAATGACAGTGAAACCTAATTTTATAATGACATAAAATTAGAATGAAGTTAAATAGCATTATCAAAATTTTATAAATATTACTAAATAAAGAAGTCACATAAACAAATATATTCTAAAAAACATATGTTTCCTTCACAATTACAAATAGTATCATAATTTCACATATTTTAAAAATAACATCAGTGATAATTTATAACTTATAGCTCTATATGAAAAAATAGATTATTGAGAACATTTAAATATTTAATTATGTATTCACTGTGTCAGATAAATTTAATAAAGTACATTGCGTGGTTGCACGTGGTGTCCACGTCACCAAATTTATTACTTTATAGTTGTCTGATAACACGAGCCTTTTTTTTTCAATCCCTACAATTGGGTATAATATAAAAAAAACACAACTACTTCCACTTAGTAGGAATAACATTTACCATGACGCAATGCTAAATTCTATGCCACTATCCACATAAATCAATTATTAATCAAAAATCGAATATCAATTACTTTTCTTTATAATGCAATAAAATCTGGCGAGCAGCTATTTAAACGATCAAACACTTCGTTTGTTTATTTGTGGCTTGAAGTTAGGCTCGCAGAAAATGCCGTTCATGGGTTAAATTCAGTAGGAATAACACAACCTGTGACGTAGGCTATAGTATACCCAATTAGTTCAAACTCTCCCTCTACATATTTATATATCTTGTTCAAATTCTCAATCGTTAATAAAATACTTTTTATTAATCCACTCAAGTTCAATTACATTCTTTTAAACTTGCAGTGGACGATGCTTGATGTTAATGCAGTTTTTTTCCAAATATTAAGTAATTAAATACAATTAATTAATTAAATGTAATAAATTAATTAAATGCAATAAATTAATTTTAGTTTCATGTAGGAGATAAAATTTTAATTATTAAAGAAAAAGTAAGTAAAATAAAATTTTTATTTGTTGAGCTAAGTAGAAATTGACTTTGAAACAAAAAATATTTTATATTAATTGTTTTTAACTAAGTTAATGTGAAAGGCTTTTGACTATCGGGCCATGCATATTTAATTTCTTTAAGCTTTCTTACAATACTTCATAACATTTGTGTTTTCAGTTTCTTCCAAGAATCATGTGTTTTTTTCGGATGAAGGGTAAAAAATTACTTACAATGTCCCATTCAGGATGTTGATCTTGCAATCCTTTGTATTCGACGTAGCTGGCAAATCCTTCGTTGATCCACACATCGTCCCACCACTCCATTGTCACCAGATTCCCAAACCACTGTAACGAGCATAACAAACGTATTCACAAATGTATAGTTTGTCTACTGTAAGAACTACTCCTGCAACAATTCGCAGGCTGTCTGCTGCTATGGAAACAAGCAGCACAAGTAGCTTCTCTTCATTCTAGGGCTAACACAATAGATCGAAGAAAAATATTCTCTCGTCAACCAGACTGAGTCAAAACCTGTCCCAAACAATGATCCAACACCTCTCTCTGAAATAGTTATACCTCGATACCATAGTCACAGCCATGGGTTCAGACGAATGGCTAGAAGAGTTCTTACTTTAGGCAAACTATATACTGAAGTCAATAAGAACGGAATTAATTTATTTACTGAAGTCAATAAGATTCCGGCAGTTCAAAATAACTAAAACAAATATATCGACAATTCTGTCCTCTATTCCTAAATCCGTGTTTCGGCTATGTAAGGATGAATGACAAACTATATCGGAGTTTAATTAAACATTTGGCTACGTAATATTTAACAATATTATTTATCATATAAAATATTTCCCTCTCATTCAAAGTTAAATTGTATTGCATTCCTTGCATCATTGCACGAGTGAGAATGCAATTATTTCGAGTAGACAGAAAAAGTACGTTGCTATCAGTATATTTCAGAATAATTCATCATAGCTGTAGATAAATAGATTGAGAGGATGGGCAGCTCCAGAGATCAGGGCACATCAACCAGAGGTCTATTGTACCCTAATCCTAAATCATGATTAGCAAGAAATCCTTAAGGCTAAAACAAAGTTCAGCTAACACCTTACAGGAACATCTTGCAGTTTCCAAGTCTTAATGCAGCGTTGCCCTAAATGCTCAAATATTTGAGCAAAATAGACCTCACGTAGTACATGCCACGAAGTCTTTTCTTCAGGATGACAACCTCTACAAAGAGCATTAGATTCAATACCCATTACGTATAGGTATCTCCTGATGGCGCAGTGTCCATCTAATGATCTTCCTCAAGCTGTTCCTGTTTAGCTTAAGAAGCTCCTTTTGACCTACACGGGGACAATCACTATTCAGCTTCTTAGCTTGTCTCTGACCGTCTGTGTTTGTGGTCATAGCTGTTACTATCAGTGTTAGAGATTGTAATATGTTTTTATAGTTGGTGTCACGTGACTCTGACTGCTGCTGCTGCTTTCATTTAATTTTTATTCTTTAACTTTGGTTTTTATGTCGGCAACCTTCTTGAAATGTTTTGTGTTGATTATTTCAGTGTTCGAATTAGTTAGGTTTTGAAAATATCACTAAATTGAGATAGCATTAGAATTAATAAATGTTTGTTAAGTTTTAATTTGTATTTGTTTATTCATCTGTAGAACTAGTAGTTCATTTGAATAGCATTAAAAAGGCGTCCGTGAAATTTGTTTGCTGCAATTTACATTTTCTGGCGTCCGTGACAGGACATTTTTTCCGATTCGAAACAATGTTTCAAGCAGCAAAAGGATTTTAAAAATAAGATTTGTTGTTCGAAGATTGGCGCTAATTGGAGAAAAAGGTCACAATATCGGAACTGAAAGAAGCAATTTTGAAAAGTAAGCAGTATTCCGAAGATCCACAGTTTGTTGAAGATATTTTGGTAACAACTGTTAGTGACCGGAAGCATAAAGAATTGGCGGATCAAAAACGATTAGAATATGAAGAACGGGAAAGAATAAGATTACATGAACTGAAGTTGGCGCGAATTCAAGTAAACCCGCCAGTGGCAATAGCAGGTGAGTCCGAAAATTCTATGATTACTAGTGCTAGGAGGAAATTTAATTTACCCAAATTAGAGTTTCGACAATTCAGTGGGGATATCAAGGAATGGTTACCTTTTTGGAGCCAATTCCAACAGATTCATCAAGATGTAGATATTGCTCCCGAAAATAAATTTCAGTACCTTATTCAAGCTACTGTAAGCGGATCTAGAGCGCGAGAAGTTGTAGAGAGCTTTCCGCCAACCGGAGCTAACTACGCCAAGGTAATTGATAGTCTGAAAGCTTGGTTTGGAAGAGATGAACTTTTGGTAGAAGTTTATGTTCGCGAACTATTAAGATTAATAATTTCGGTTCAGAAAAATTAGAAAATTTTAATGACTTCTCTCTATGATAAACTTGAATCGTACCTTAGAGCATTAGAGACACTAGGAGTAACGACTGATAAATGTGCTTCAATACTTTATCCAATGGTTGAATCTTGTTTTCAAGAAGAGTTCCTGAAAGCATGGAACAGAAGTCCTTCTAACGCAGCTTCAACTGATGCTAAAGAACGACTGAACAATTTGATGAATTTCCAGAAAACTGAAACTGAAGGAGAGGAAAGAATAAATTTAGCCATGACTGGGTTTGGTTTGGGTTCAAGTGAAAATCACCAAACTTTTAGGGGAAAAGGAAAGCCTTTGATTTCAGGTAGAGTGCCTACAGCTGCCAATTTACTTACTGCGGCTTCAAAAGAGGTAAAGAAATTATGTGTTTTTTGTTCTGGAAAGCACTCCAGCTCAGACTGTTTCACCGCTCAAAGGATGAGTTTAGCCGAGAGACAAGATATAGTAAGAAAAAACCAGTGTTGTTTTGCGTGTTTGAATCCTGGTCATCCAGTACGTAAGTGCAAAATGTTTATCAAATGTATTGTATGCGGTAAAAGACATGTGCCACTTATGTGTGAGAAGCTAGATACCCGAGGTAAAGAATCAGGAGAAAGTGGTGAGAAATGTGAAAGTTCTGAGATTAACATGTCTAACATTACTTATGGTCCCAAAGTTTATCTTCAGACATTAAAAATCAAACTGGTTTCAGATAACAAGGAAATTCTAGTGAGAGCTGTATTAGATTCCGGATCCCAAAAAACGTATATTTTGAAAAGTCTCGTGGAACAAATGGGATATACTCTGGTAAGAAAAGAAACGCTTATACATTCTTTATTTGGTTTTATTAACTCTGATAAATATGAACATACATGTTATAGAATCCGATTAAGAAATCCTAAAAACAGCATAACTTGTAACATGGAAGCTTTGGATCAGTCTTCTATATGTAATAACATTACACCTGTAACTTCAGGTCCGTGGATCAAGGAGCTTCAGGAAATGAAGATAACTTTATCAGATATTGGTAATGAATTGCAACCTGTACAAGTACTTCTTGGAGCTGACGTGATAGGGAAGCTTATGACAGGCCAGCGTAAAGTATTAACTTGTGGACTTGTCGCCATTGAAACTTTACTTGGTTGGACTTTGTCGGGAAAAGTACCTGAAAGCGATACATCTTTATGCAATTCTATGTTGGTAACTTCTCTTTCAGTGAAAGAAATGTATACATCAGATATGTGGACATTGGATACCATAGGGATACAGGATCCATCAGAACAGGAGACTAAAGAAGAACTTTATAACGCTTCGGTAGATCATTTCTTAAAGACTGTTAAAGTTGAAGATCAACGTTTCCTTGTTAGTCTACCTTGGCTTGACGTACATTTGCCTTTGCCCGACAATTTTAATTTAGCACAAAAAGGATTGCAAGTAACAACTCGGATGCTTAAAGCAGAAAATTTGTTTGAGGAATATGGAAATGTTTTCAAAGACTGGGAACGAGAAGGCATCATCGAAGAGGTTCCTGTAGAAGAACTGAAATTAACTTGTCACTATATGCCACACCGTCACGTAGTGAAGGAGAACAGTACAACAAAGATTAGGCCGGTGTTTAATGCTTCGTCTAAACAAAAGGGACATCCCAGTCTTAATGACTGTGTTGAAAAGGGCCTAAATTCCTTCCATAATGACAAGGTTTCGCCTCTATTAAGTTTGGCATAACAGCAGATATACGCAAAGCTTTTTTGCAAATAGGTCTCCATAAGCCAGATAGAGATTTTCTATGGCACGACGAACAAGGTGAGCTCAAACATTACCGTCATCGAAGAGTTGTCTTCGGTGTTTCTTGTAGTTCATTTTTGCTAGCGTCAACCATACGATACCACTTAGAAAACAAACTAGATGAAGCCACACAAGGAAATGGAAGATATCCTGAAGGCATTATCCGCCAACTACTACTCAGTTTTTATGTGGATAACTGTTTAGTTAGTGTTGAAACTGAGCAAGAGTTAAAGCAGTTCATTGAAGTTGCCACAGAAATTATGGCTGAAAGAAAATTTGATTTAAGAGGGTGGGAGTTCACTAATCCCGCTGAATCCACTGTAAGGTCAACAAACATTCTAGGAATGATACGGGACAGACAAAGTGATACTCTTTCCATAAATATTCCTGATGTTAATGAAACAAAGAATGAAGTGATCACAAAGCGAAATATTTTATCAGCTTCACACAAAGTTTTTGATCCCATAGGGATAACCTGTCCAGTGATGATGCGTCCAAAACTTTTGTTACAAAATTTGTGGAAGTCTAAAATTGGTTGGGACGCTGAAGTTGATCAAAAAACGGGCGAAGAATTTCTAAGATGGTTAAATGAGCTTGAATGTTTGAAGAATGTGAAGGTAGCAAGATGGTTGCACTGCGATAAGGGAGTTGAAAATATTTCACTTCATTTTTTTTGTGATGCAAGCAAGTATGCCTATTCGGCAGTAGTCTTTCTGCGAGTTTGTTATATGACTAATGTTTATGTACAGCTGGTACAAAGTAAAACAAGAATTGCCCCTTGTGGGAAAAAAGAGACAACAATTGCAAGATTAGAACTTCTTGGTGCCACAATATCTGCTCGTCTATCCACTGAGGTACGAAAAGAGTTTAAAACCCACAATGTGTATTTTTGGACAGACTCCACCACAGTGTTAGCTTGGTTGAAAAAAGAAGAAACGGGGGGTGTATTCGTACAGAACCGTGTTCAAGAAATTAGGAAACTGACACCAGTTCAAGCATGGAGACATGTACCTGGATCCTTGAATCCCGCGGATCGGCCAAGTAGAGGTTGTTCAGCTAAGCGATTGTGCCAGTCAAAATGGTGGGAGGGTCCCTGTTGGTTGTACCTTCCATCCCGTGAATGGCCAACTAACGACTCAGAGGAAGATGTCAATGAAGAAGAAGTGATTAGAGAAAAAAGAAGAACGATCGTATCTTCAATTGTAAATATTGAAGTTACAGAAATATGGAGCGATCATTTTTCCTCTTACAGTAGAAACATCAGAGTGGTGTCATGGATTCTTCGTTTCATGCATGACACATTACATGAAAATAAATTAAAAGGTAACTTGAGCTATGAAGAATTCAAAGAAGCAGAAACTCAAGTGCTTAAATCCATGCAATTAATAGTGTTTCAAGATGAGAAATTTCTTAACAAAATGCAAGCATTTAGAGATGAAAAGGGATTACTGCGAATAAGAACCAAACTTGTAAATAGTGATGAAACTGAAGATTTTAAATTTCCCATTCTTTTACCTGGTAATAGTTTCGCTATGAAGTTAATACGAGAAGAACATGAGAAATCAATGCATGCTGGTTCTTCTATCGTACTTGTCAGACTTAGGGAGAAGTTTTGGATTCTTAAGGCTAAAAAGTTAGTAAAAGATGTCATTTCTAAATGCGTGACATGCAAGCGTTTCAAATCTAAACCAGTTGAAGTTCCCTTCGCTCCGCTGCCTAGAGAAAGAGTTACCTTGACAAAAGTCTTCGAGGTAAGTGGTGTAGATTATGCTGGTCCTCTCTACTTGAAGTCAAAAGGAAAAGCTTGGATCGTTTTATTTACGTGCGCCGTTTACCAAACGGTCCATTTTGAACTGGTGCAATCACTCACCACAGATGCTTATATCCAAGCTCTCAGACGATTCATTACCAGACGAGGCCGGATTTCAATCCTTTATTCCGACAACGGCACAAATTTTGTGGGAGCCAACAGAGCATTGAAAACATTAGATTAGAACAAGATAGCCGCATACTCAACCGCTCAGAGAATCACTTGGAAATTTATTCCACCTACCGCAGCATGATGGGGTGGGTGGTGGGAGCGAATGGTCAGAATGCTCAAAGAACTACTACGTCGAGTTCTAGGGAAATCTACCATCGATTACGAAGAACTCTACACGATATTGTGTGACTGTGAGTCAATAATAAATTCAAGTCCACTCACTTACATACAAGATAATCCAAATGAATTAGTACCGTTGACACCCGAAATGTTTATTCACGGTGGCGGTAACAGCGAAATACCAGATCTAGATAATGTAGACCGATCTTGCCTCATAAAACGAATAAAGTATTTGCAGAAGCTACGTGAAAACCTCAGACAAAGATTTCGAAATGAATACCTTGCTCTTTTAGTCCACAAAGGGGTAAGAAGAAATAACGTTTTAGACGTTGGTGATTTTGTGTTAATAGGACATGACAATGTCCGTCGTATCGATTGGCCACTTGGAGTTATTTTAGAAATTTTTCCTGGTAAAGATGGTATTCCTAGAGTTGCAAAACTGAGGACCAGTAAGGGGGAAAGGATCCGTCCATTTCAAAGGCTTTACCCATTAGAAGTGTCTACCAAAACTGATATTGAGGTCTTAAAAGCTGCTAGAAGGACTGACGATTTTGTAGAAAACAATGAAGCTTTAGAGGTGAATTATTTTCCTAAAACTAAGTCGGGAAGAATCATCAAAGTTCCTGTTCGGTTGGACTTATGAGCATTCTTTTTATTTTTAGCTCTAGTAGTTTAAAGTTCCAACTTTCGTAAAATTTTGGTTGCAAAGTTCAATAAGCCTAACTTTGCAAGGTGGGAGTATGTTAGAGATTGTAATATGTTTTTATAGTTGGTGTCACGTGACTCTGACTGCTGCTGCTTTCATTTAATTTTTATTCTTTAACTTTGGTTTTTATGTTGGCAACCTTCTTGAAATGTTTTGTGGCGATTATTTCAGTGTTCGAATTAGTTAGGTTTTGAAAATATCACTAAATTGAGATTGCTTTAGAATTAATAAATTTTTGTTAAGTTTTAATTTGTATTTGTTTATTCATCTGTAGAACTAGTAGTTCATTTGAATAACATTAAAAAGGCGTCCGTGAAATTTATTTGTTTGCTGCAATTTACAATCAGTATTACACTATCTGTCCAAAGTGCACGGACTCCCAATGTTATGAACTTAGAGAGTCCCTGAGACGCATATGGGTCCCTCTTTTTGCATCGATGACAGCCTGCACACGAATACTTTACTCCAGTTTTTGATAGGACTTCCATCACAGCTGAAGTGAGTGTTTGCAGTCTGGCTACCTAATCTACGCTCTAATTCGTTCTATGGAATCGGGGTTCTGAGGAGATTTTGAACACCCATTTCTTCCAACCATGTGTGAATGGAACAGTTATCCTGCTGGAAGAGAAATAGGCCTTTCCGGAATATTGCCATAGAAATGGGAGTGCAGCATTGTCCACATACACATCTCATGTTTTCAACCACAGGCACTAACATACTCAAACCACGACAAACATTCTAAAACCATAACAACCGGATATCCGGATAGGGGATCTTTAAAAAAAAAATTTATATTAAAAAAATACACTAAATGATGTATGACAACCCCACAGTAATCGTAAAAAAAGAAAAGCTAAAAGATGCAGAAAAGAAATACCATGTGTGCCATTTCGTGTGATATGACAGCAGAGATCCTCTGAAGTTGAGATGGACTGGACTTGGATTCATCGTACAGCAGAGAGGTTTCCCTGAAAGTGATGATACCCCAATGCTCCATCGCACCCGATACAAAATCAGGAATGGCAATCATGTCTGCAAAACATAACAGAGTCACTGGCGAAAATTAAAAGACGCACTCTAAGATTCTTTGTGAAGTCTTAATTACTCAGGTGATACAGCTTTATTGTTTTTATGTGACTGTTTTGCACTTGTTTACGTTAGTGCTTCACTTGGTTAAATTAGACGATGTATAATATAAATATAGAATATTCAGATATTATATTAGTATGTCATAATATTTAGACCGAATTATTGGACGCACTGTAGTCTACCAACGATGGCTTAGGGGCATTTAAGCGCTAAAAAAACTGTTGATATTAATAACAAAAAGTATTTCTATAACAGCTGTGGTGTCTCAGGTTATAGAGTGTTCGCTTCCCAATGAGGAGAACCGGGTTCGAATCCCAGCGATGGCTGGTCGATGCGAATTTCGCACCCGGTTTGCACCGACTACAGTGCTGACGTGAAATATATTCAACGGTAGAGGAATCATGGATTAGAGTCCCCTTGCCGTCAGGCTAGCCGTGGGAGGATTTCGTGGATTTCCTCTTTATGAGACACAAATGCGAATTATTTCATTCAAAAAGTCTTCCATGAAGGCAACTTTTTTCCTAATACTTTACGCAGGTGTTCCACCTGTCTTCTGGATTGTGTTCAAAATCACAAGGCTACGAAGTTGAACATTAGTATTCGTAAACCCTATATTGGGTCAGCTGTTCAACGATGGCTATAAAATATAACCCTTATGTTTCATTATTGGTTCAAAAACTTTAAACACAAATTTCATTAATTTTATACAATTTTTAAATTTTACGCAAACGTAACGGGAGAAATTACGCAAATTTTTCTTCATTTTTGAAAAAATGAACTCTGCAGAGGCATTTTAAGATATGCTTCCAAAAAAAAACTTTCTGATTCGTATTGTTAGTTTTTTAATAGTTTCAAATTGTTGTAAAAAGAGATTATTATTTAAAATACTACTACTGTTCGGTAACTAGATTATCTAATTTTAACCTACATTCAAAGTATTTAATGCTATAGTTTATCCTATATATTATTGCGATAGCAGATTAAAAATTTCTCCATTTATGTATGAAGTGTTCAACAATTATTTTGTAATTTTTTTTCAAACATTATATATTTTTGTGATTTATTTGTAATGTAGCGTATCTACCACTACAAAAATACAATTCCAATTCACTAGTATATAAGGCATGATAACTCGATTCTATGGTGGGGTACCTTTTCATACATGACGGTTGACAGAGTCGATAAATATATCCCCACATTGGTGACCCGGACGTGATGCGAACACGCCTACGTTGACAGTAACGCTCACTTAGATATGAAAGCGCCTACTTCGATGGATGGTCCACATTGAACAGTTGATTTGCTATTTGTGACTGCTACGCTATCTACCTCCTCTCGCTGTTGCTACTCAGTCTCGATTACCCACATCGTACAACGTATTCACTCGACTGCTAAAGGCAACACAGAAGCGACCACGACCGTGAACTTAATACAGCTCTCAAGACCCGAACTCAAATGAACGGAGATCTTAATACAGCTCTCTCGGCTTCTCACAAAAACAACAATGAATCAACTAGTGATATCCGTTCATCGAATTCTATAACAGATATAATTCTGGTGGGAGTATATAAGACACTAGTATATAAGACATGTTAACACGATTCTATGGTGGGGTACCTTTTCATAGATGACGGTTGACAATACTTGTATACTAGTGAATTGGAATTGTATTTTTGTAGTGGTAGATAAGCCGCAGTACTCCCCCACCACGGTATGATTTGTTATGGGAACGTGGAGGACTTTGTGACTCCACAGATTTAACGTGCATCAGTCACCATTTACTACACTGGGAGTCGTGGATGGAGATCGAACCCATGACCCCGAGATTAAGAGAATATATATGGAGTATATATTCTCTTAATCTCGGGGTCGGAAATATATAGAGTATATCCTGAAAAAATATTTTCTGGATATACTCTATATATTTTCTGGATCAACCTTCATCTATCAAAAGGTAGCTCAAGATGGAATCAAGTTAGTCATGTCTTATATACTAGTTATTTGATATTTGTAGTGATAGACTCTCAGGAATTACTTTGTGTTTACAACTTCAAATAAACTCGTCGATCAAAGCTATCTGCAATTAATGAAGGTCAAGAAAAATAACTTGCCTTGTTTGGGTAAGGGATATTCAATATTGAAATAGGTCTCGTAATACTCCAATACCCTTGCACCGAACTTTAGTGCGTACTTGGTCTTGTTGACTTGGTCTGCGGAAGAATACACTCTGAACTGAAAAAACAAGTCGTCCATTTTTAAACATTTTCTTATTTATTATCACAGTTCATAATTTTGAATAATTTTTGCTTCAGTTGAAATGCGTTCCATTGAACATCTTTACTCAATTTTATGGTTGTAAGTATTTTCGAATCATAAACTTTAAAATTGGCTCAAGCTTCTTAAAAATACTAACCATCTCAAAATTTCCGAACTATGTTCAATGAAACACATTTCAATGACTGCAAAACCTAGTGAAAAATATTAATTACTAGCTGAATAACCCGCTCTCCTTACGGGGTAAATAAAAATAATGAATCAGAACTGAAGAACACGACGATATTTTGCACAAAGAACTTACCGGCACAATAAAAAAAAAAAATTTTTTTTTAATTATCTTTCGTTCTTGCCGATGGCTTTATGTTTTTAGATTAAGCAAAACACGTTTTTATAAGTACATTCCATCAAAATAAAGATCTTCGGGAATGATGCTTGAAACCAACTCATGATTGTTAAAATATAAAACAATTGATTTTTATTTAGTACTTTTCGAGAGAAAGGTACAACATCTATATTAACACTGAAAGGAGAAGCATTTAATTAGGTTCCAAGTATAATAATTTTACCTGCATTAATAAATATAGTATTAATTCAAATTGCAGACATTACCATGATACGAAAAGCTCCTAATACCAAAATTAATCAAGCACCATTGACTGGTCAATACGGCACCCTGCTTGCGCTGACCACAGTGCTGAGGTGAAATATCATCCATCCGTCAGGCTACACGTGGGTGGTTTTCCTCACCATGCAAAGCAAATGCGGGTAAGTTTCCTGAAAAAGTTCTCCGCAAAGGCAAATTTCTCCTTTACCTTTTGGATTGGGATCAAAATGACAAGGGCACGGAGTTGAACAGTCGTAAATTCAAAATTGGGTAGGCTGTTCAACGACTGTTAAAATAAAATAAAATAGAAGATAACTGAAGCAAATAGATAGTTGGAAATCTCGACTAAATCTGAACCGGAATAGATGCGTTTTGGAGACAATGACCAAGGAACCAATTTAGCAATACAATATTGTTTTGACTGTCCCAGTCACAAAATTGTCATTTGGCAGATCGTCGTGTCTCGACCCGATGGCCTCCTGTGTCGTGAGCAAGACAACGACCCCAAGGAACGGCAGGTCCGATGATCGCGTTATATCAAATATTTTCCGGGCATAACTGATTCACCCATATATTAATTCCATAGTATAGTTCGTCTATGGTAAGAACTTCTCCAGCCAAAGAGTCTTCTACAGCTACGGAAACAAGAATAGTACATTTCATTGAGGGTATCTTCTCTTCAATAGGCGATCGCAATGACCGAATACGCCATCTGGAGATAAGACCACTCTAGGGCTTTAGGCACCGCTTGGCGCGGTCGAGAATAAACGCTTTGAAAACCGCAAATATGGTAATCCTACCTATTAATGCGCCACACCTTATCTTGCAGCAACCCTGTTTCGTTGGTCTAGGACAGGGGATGCCAAACTTTTTTTATCATCGACCCCTACATAATTTTTCGAAATCTCCATCGACCCCCATAAAAGTAATTTTCTGTTAATTAAAATAAAACTCTATTAGATACTGTGTTTGTACATTTATTTTGTGATTTTGAACATTTATTAAAGTAATAGTATATAGTGTAACAATAGTTTTATGAAAAATATATTAATATTGAAATATAAATACCTTAATATTTATGAAATAATAAGTAAGAAGAAATAATAAGTAAAGTAACTACGGATTTATTGCTTCTTAATCAATGACATGGGTATGCCTGGTGTTTTCTTTTCCTGCAAGTTTCGTTATATTGGGTTCAAAATTGGTCAATTTTAATCTGAAATCCCCTCGAAACTCCACATTTAATTTATTTCTGTTCTTAGTTAAGATTGAATTTACGTGACTGAAACCGGTTTCAACCATATAGGAACTTGGAAATGCTATCATAAATGGCTGAGCTATTTCCTAAAGTCTTACATATTTTTGCATTATATTTATATTTGTCCAAAATTTGCTTATCGTTAATTTTTTAAAAATCATCTTTGCTTTAAATCCCCATAATAATTCAGCAAGCTCATCTTGCAGGTTGATGTCCACGTTTTCAATTTGAGCAGAAAATGGCACAATAATCCAATCAGGGATGTCAATGTTTTCCAAATCAACAAAACGCAGTTTAAAATCGTCGCTCAATTTTTGAAGATTACCTGTATATATTTCCAAGTCTTCTTCTTTTATTTCTAATTGTCACATATCTGAAAAATACTGATAATTTTTCGACCAATCGACCCTTCCGGTACGGATCGACCCCCATTCGACCGCCTGGCTTAGATCGACCCCCGCTTATGTTAAATAGACCCCTGGGGGTCTATATAGACCACTTTGGTGACCTCTGGTCTAGGAGGATAATGGTTGATGTTGATTGAGAAGCTATTTCATTTGTGTTAACATTTTTTTTTCCTGTCTGAAAAACAGTTAAAAATTTAATCAAACTTAAAATTTATCAGATTTCTTGAAAGAGAATAAGAAAACTTAGGTCGCTGAATTCTCTAGAATCGATCAAATTTTTTTTAGGGTCGTAATAAATTGTTTATTTTGAAAGATGCAAAGCTGTTTATTGTGAAAGATGTATTAAAGACTTATTTTTCTTAGATATCTGTATGCGACTTCAAAATAATACTGAAACAGTGCTAAAGATTTCTAAATTGCTATCTAGTTTAATAAAGTGATTAAATTTCCAAGGTAGTGTTTAATTCCTCATTTTTAAATAAGAGAACATGAGAGAGCAATGACTTAAAAAATATTAAGAAGTTTCTTAAAAAATTAAAAATATATAGTTTCCTTTTAGGATCGTAATAAATTGTTTATTTTGAAAGATGCAAAGCTGTTTATTGTGAAAGATGTATTAAAGACTTATTTTTCTTAGATATCTGTATGCGACTTCAAAATAATACTGAAACAGTGCTAAAGATTTCTAAATTGCTATCTAGTTTAATAAAGTGATTAAATTTCCAAGGTAGTGTTTAATTCCTCATTTTTAAATAAGAGAACATGAGAGAGCAATGACTTAAAAAATATTAAGAAGTTTCTTAAAAAATTAAAAATATATAGTTTCCTTCCATGTTTTATGTAAAATAACATAGAAGAACTCTTTTTTTTTTACATATTTATGCAAAGAATTGCCAAAATATTTCTATCATATTTTATAGATGCAATTAAATGGACAAATTACATAATAATCATAGTCTCAACTGCAAAGGTCATATTGTATTCACAATGCATGTTGATTTTCAATTCAATACTTTCAAACATGAATTTTCTAAATAACTTTCAGATAATATGGTGAATAGATTTCAAAATAAATATGTATAATGCAGATTTTATTATTGCATACTATTAGTCAATTAATTTTATGAAGTAGACCTAAGAATTCACCAACTGCTGCATTTTTCCACTGATTACTGAATTTTTATTTACAAAATACGGAATAATTATGAAATTTAATGAATTGGTAAGCGTGGTTGGTTTATTACTAAACAATTGGGTGACTTATTTTTAGTTTCTTTTATTTCTGAAAGAAATACCAAGCAATTTTCAACTATTTTATTAGCAGATTTAAATTTGGTATTAATTATAGTGGGTAATATTATGAAAATACCTTAAAAATGAAAAATTACTCAAGAAAAGGATTCAATTTTACATTGAGCAGTAAGAAAACAGGTTTTGATATCAGAAAATTTCAAATTCTCAATTACGACGTCAAATATGGCATTTATTAGATTGTTTTTTTAATATTTTAGAATATATCTCTATTAGGTGTATCTCTAGATTGCTATAAAACACAGAAGAAATGTTAATGTATATAAATACTTGTATTTCTAATGTTCATTAGCAATTCTGGCTACTCTCAGTATTTGGAAGGAATTAATAACATTTTTCAAAACCTGGAAGATAAGTTTATGTACTTTTATTTACACTTCCCACAGAAGCAAGCTAGGACTGCCACCAAATTTTACTATATTCAACCATTTGTCTAATCCATGAATCTTAAATTATACGAGGAGAATAATATGATCTNTTGTAATACTGTATTTATTATTAAATTCTACATTAAATTACCTTCAATTTGATATATAAACGGTTGTATTTAAGTGAAAATTAATATATCCTACAAGCACACAAATTTGAAAAACATGAAACTTTCAAAAAGTGTCCAGACTTTTGGCCACCACTGTATTTATAAAAAATTGTGGGAAGTAATTCTGTATGTTTTTCATTCTGAATTCTGCAGCACTAAGATAATATTCCCTCATGTCAAATTTTGAGTTATAAATGCTATTTTAATGAGTAATTATAAATGCAAATGAGACATGAAGACTTAATGAGGGATGAAAAATCCATTTTCATGAGAAAAATATGGAAAAAGATTAAGCAAAGTAAAAACATAAATCGAAATTTAGGGAATGCGCTAAAATTTTCAATTTAGTTTATCATCATGTATATTGTACATGTTTAACTTGACATCCAATATAAAGCTCAACGAAAATAAAACAGAGTTTTATTTGAAAACAATAAAGATTAATAGATAAATTATGTGCTATCATTCCTTTCTTTCCGTCAAGAACCAAGAATATAATAATGTAAAAAACAAAGCATAGTAATGTAAAAAACAAACTTCTATATGCAAAAATTCTATACAAAGTTTTTGTCAACACAAATTTATCCTGTCCTAATCAATCATTTACAATTATCATGTTATATACTTTAATATTTTAGTAACATCCAAACAATCTGGAGGTTATAAACATGTTATTTATAGCTGGAATATTTAATTGCTTTGCTTTTTTAGTAAAATAAAACAATTAATACAAATTACTTTTATTGGACCCTAATTTTTTTATTTTTTCAGAAAATTTTTATTTTATTTTATCTCCTTCTTAAAAAAAGAAAAACAGTTCATCTTCGCTCTCAATTGTTCTTCTAAAAACAATTTCTGATGATGAAGGTTTTTTCATCTATTAATGTTGATGGAAATCGCTGTAACAATATTGGGAGAACATCCGTTTTTTTTTCCTCCTTAAGTTACGTTTGAAGCCATTGCTAAAGATGTAAAAAGTAAGTCCTGCTTTTACAAGCGCTGTGGAGAGCAACTTGGAGACTGATCTGGTTCGCCAAGAATGCCAAGTGGTGCCCAAATCGTGAGCCTTTCCTTGAAAGCGACCGGTTCCATGCCTTGGGTTCCTTCCCTCTCCTCCTCTTTTCCGTTGTATAGGAATGTACTAGTATGATATTTCTTCTTTCTTTAATATTTTTCGTATTTGATTGTTAAAATTATTTTTTAGCATTTTCATGACGCTTTCTTTTAGAACTATGTTTAATGTAGTTTTCAGTTCCATATAGCTTCCTAACTTAAACGATTTTAATCTACTCAAAAATCAAGACAAAAACTTTCCTTCTTCTGTGATTCTCCACACGCTAGTAGTGAAAGCATGCGAGGTGTTGCCATAGGTAGAGAGCTCTGCTCTAGGGCACCTGTAGCCCCACCAATAGAAGAAAAAGATTCCTTTTCTCTGGCCGGCCCGAGCCTGTCCTAAACAGTAACCCCACACCCTTACTTGAAATAGTTATACCTCGTTACCATGGTCACCGCCACGAGTCCAGACGAATGGCTAGGAGAGTTCTTACTTTAGACAAACTATGTACGGTATCGAAATATTCAATAAAAATATGTTTTTTTTTGTTTGTTTTTTTCTTTAATTTCTGGAGCAGAAAAGGAAAGAAAAATATGGATTATCTTACTTGTTTCCCATTTGCCGTTGTTTGCGTCGACTTGAAATCGCATACAATGAAACATACCAGATACGTCACCATGGGAACGGATTTTTGGAATGTCGTCACAACTAGGCTGGAATTTTGTCTGGGTTTTGTTGCCTGTTTCAAAATTATTGAAATTAATTACGATTATTTACATACGAGTACATAACGATTGCATCAACAAAATGTAACAAAAATACGACTTGGGTTAAACATATTGGCTACTAAGTAATTTTTGCAAGCAATTCTCTCTCGACCTTTATCTCAAGTAAGTTTGTTTTGTTTCTTCTATACATTATGAATGCTGAAAATTGGTAATATTTTATTACTTAAATTATTTTCTTACGTTTCGCCAATATTAAGCCGTAAATTGCAGCAGCAACAACAAAAATGCATAAAATTAGAAATATGTTCTGTTTCAATTTAGAAATTTACGAAAAAGAAAGTTGGATTTTTAGAAACTTTTTAAAAAAATTAATAAAGAAGGAAAGATATTAGGAATTTTAAATTGTTATAAATAAATAGTAATATTTATAATTGCAATCACTGGCAAATTATTAAACGCACTATAATATTCTAAGTAAAATCTTAATTGTCAGATAATACTATTCAGCTTTATTGTTTTTATATAACTGAATATTGTTTACGTTCGTTACGTTACGTTACGCTTTGCACTTCTTTACGTTCGTGAATCAATGGATTAAATTAGACGATATTTAATACAAATTAGACAATTGTATAAATTTGATAATATCTTATATAGATATAGAATATTTATTATATCAGGTATTATAATAGTATATTATAATAATTCAATCAAAGTATTAGGCGCACTGCAGTTTTTTTAATAATTACATGTTTTGCGCGAGTTTATAGGCAATACTTTTATATTTAAACATACATGTAATGGGTTTTTTTATTCAGGAGACGTTTCATATACTTTCTATTTGTATTTATTTTTAGCCAATTTCATTATTATGTAAACCAATTGATACACGAACGTAAACAAGTGCAAACAAAACGTAAACAAGTAATAACAATACAGCTGTATAGCATCATCAAATAATTAAGATTTCACATAGAATCTTACAGTGCGTCTCATAATTTGAATGGGAACGTACATCAAAAATTAAAAAAAAAATATTTTTTTTTTAAGTTTCAGTGTATTGAAGTTTCTTAAAATGTCCTTTAGGTGCTTAAAATAATCAAAGAAGACGTGATACATTCCGATGAAAATAATGACTTACTTGGACTGGCATATTAGAGAGGGCTATATAATTTGGACTGTGCATCAGAGAAACGGAGAAAGTAGTTTTAAAACTTGGCTCATCAAAACAAGGAAAAGCCCTTCTAGCATATGTGGGTTGAAATTTAGAAGTAGCCAATGATCTGTAAGAAAATCTCTCAAAAATTACACAAATCATGCGTATAACGATTCTTACGAATGCCTCAAAATAATTCAATACATCTGGCAAAATAATATACAGTCCTATATATATACACGGTGATTCTAAAAAGATGGGCAAAATTTTAGGAAGTGATAGTACACACCCAAGCAAACAATTTTTATCAAAGAATGCATGGTCGAAAACAAAACGCAAAACCGCTAGAGGGCGCCGAAGTTTATGTTCTTATATGAGGCAAAAACACACAAAGAACAATGAAGTTAAGTTATAAACGGAAACTTAATGGCATGTGATTACAATAAGTGTTCAAAACAGTGGTCGGCAGAGGCTATGCAAGCAGTACAACGGCGAAGAAAAGATAGGCGAATATTCTGAAACACACCAGGCATATCACGAACTTTCCCTTCAGCCGCCCGAAAGCTTGGTGACAAGTAACGCAGCGCAGTAACTCGCAACAGGAATAGAGCCTTCATGTTCGCATCAAACAGCTTTTCAAATGCGCCAGCACCTTCGCGTTTTGTTTTCGACCATGCATTCTTTGATAAAAATTGTCTACTTGGGTGTGTACTAAAAAACTATCACTCCCTAAAATTTTGCCCATCTTTTTAGAATCACCCTGTATATATATGGGNTCGAAGTATCGCATTTATCAAATATATTACGAAAATAAATGCAACTTCAAAATAATCTTTAAGTTTTATCATAAAAATTTTGATTTATTTTATTTTCTAATTTTATTTATTATGTTTCATGCATCTAACTATAGATGTATATATATATATTGTATGCATGTATACATATACTACATATTGTATGCATGTTCTAAGTGCTTACTGATCGTCTTAAAAAAAAACACTGGTTGAAACGGTTAATTTTATAAATTATTTCCCCCCAGAAGCTAGAGCAGAAAATGAAAAAAAAAAGCTTGAATTATCAACTATGAAGTTAAAATTAAATCGTTCACGTTCTTAAAAGTGGATTTAAAAAAAGGAATTTTTGCAAAGGTAAAAATAGCTGTTTTGAATCTTTAATTGCAAAATCAGCTTAAATACCTTCAAATTTCTGATTAACTAATGAATGGAATAATAATTGAATATTCTTAGGAAGATAATGGAAGCTGATGAATTGGTGCTGTTGATCCATTTAAATAGGTTGCTTGCCCCTAGGGCATTTTAACCGATCAATCAGCCTGATAAAAATCAAAGAAAGGCTTGACCTTGATAGCGTCAAAGGCTTTATTGCTCTGAACTTACAAGAAGGGAGTGACATTTAAGAGCAAAATGAACGCATTGAATGCCAGTCGAAACCAGATCATCACTTTTCCCATCTAAAGTGTTCATTTCATTATTATTTTAACAAATATATAATTATTATGAATATTTTAAAATATTCAAAAAAAAAATTTATTTTGCGCTTGTTTCTCAAAATTTTTCATTTTATAGAAATACGCCCTTGTAATTTCTTTTATAACAACCGTCTTTGAACAGTCAACACCATTTTGGGATTACAACTACTAATGTTCAACTCAGTAGTTTTGAACTCAATCCGGAAGACAAGGGAACTCCTGGGTAAAGTTTGCATTTGAGGAGGACTTCCGAAGAAGAGTCACATGGGTTCCGAGAATAGATCTTTTCCCCCTTTAATCAGTAATGATTTTTAAATATTTAATCAATAATAATAATTAAATATTTCGTTTATTTGAGTGAAAATATTTAATTAAAAATTCAGGCATAAAAGAAGCAATAAAATTTAAGAAATTTATATATTTCTTCGAATTAATATAAAATATATTTTATTCAATATAAAAATATATTGAATAAATTTTAAAAAAAAAAGCTTTTTATTTATAAAAAAATTTAATCGTTTTTTTTTCTCATGGAACTGATGAATTCCAAATAAAATAACCGAATTTAGCCGACCATGTGGCCGAGTGGTTAGCGTGTCTTTTTGCGGAGCCATTGGCAGCGGGTTCGAATTCTGCTCTGGGCATGGATGTTTCTTTCCCTCTCTGTGTTCTATGTGCTATCCTCTTTGTGTGAATGTGTGCATGTAACCTACCCTATAAACGGGTTTGTGGTTGTGGGACGTGGGCGACGCTGCTCCACCGCCGTGGCTTCGCCACTGGGTAACGAGAAGAGAGTAGCAGTTTTGGCATTTCTGTGGCCAATGGTACAAACCCCAAGTGTCCGCCATTTTATTCTCTTTCAGCTTATACAGTGCCTGTCCAAATTAATAGACGCACTATAAGATTCTAGGTAACATCTTAATTATTAGGTGATACTATACAGTTTTATTGTTTTTATGTGACTGAAACCGGTTAGCACCGGTTAGCAACGTTAGTGTATCGATTGGATAAATGAGACGATATATTATATAAATATAGAATATTTATAATATCAAGCATTATATCAGTAATTTATAATAATTAGATCAAAGTATTAGACGCACTCTAGTTCTTTTTAATAATTACATGTTTTGCATGAGTTTATAGGCTTTTATATGTAAACATAGATGTAATGGGTTTTTATTTAGGATATTTTTTATATGCTTCCTATTTGTATTCATACCTATATCTGGTTCATTCCTCTCTTAGAGCTGAAGCTTACCTTCTCATGACGTCACCCCGTACACAAATCTCGGAGATCGCAAGCTAAGGTATTATGAAAACTTTGCATCATTCTCCCCGTAAAAATAAGTGCGACTTTTTCTTGATATTAGCTTCCCAACTTCACTCAATTAAACTTATTATTTTCGTTCTAAAACATGATTAAAAAATACTTTCTCGACCATTAGATTAAAAAAAAATCCCATTTTAGACTACTTTAAACTTTTCTAGATATTTTACTAGTTGTCGAAAATGACGCCATAAATACTTTATTTTAAAAAGTTCAGTTTTGACTTTTATTATTAATAAAAATTAAAGCATATATCAACACTTTTTTAGTTACATATTGCTTGGTAGCAGTAAATTGGGTTAAATTTAAAATCCTGATTTTAAAATATGCTAGATAATAGAAATTTATTAGTAATTGTACAATTGTTTATGGATATTTAAGTTTAAGATTATATAATTTATAGATATTTAAATTTAAGAGAATATAATAAAAAAAATCATAAATATTTAGAATAACTACATTAAAAAATATGTTATGAAATTAGGAGAATTTTAACTATATACTATACATTTTATTTATACTTTTCATTTACGTTTTAATTTTCGTTGATTTTATCCATTTTTTTAATTTTTTCGCCTGCCTTTCTTTTTGAAGTAACGAGGCGCTTCCTACTTAGATAATGAATTTTTATAAAAGTTCTTAAACGATAGAATAAACGTATTCCTGTTTCATATTAACTGACTCATTTCGTTTGCGACGTTGAATCCATTCTATACATAGTTATTAATTTACTTTAGGGTCCCGCAGTGGACTGATCGTTAAGACACGGTTCCCAGCAGATCACCGAAGTCAAGCATCACTGGCTACGGTCAGTGTGCGGGTGGGTGACCACTTGGATCAGCCTGAGTAGGGACCGAGGGTGTGCGGTATGGGTCCTCGTTAAACTGTGCTACCGTAAAGTGCCCGACTTCACGCGCAGGTCGTCGGGCTACCGAAGCGGGGGTGCCATCCCCTCCGCAGAGGATCAAAATTGAGATGGCATGTCATCCTCCGGGATGTTTCCCAGACCGTCGCCAATAGCCCATTGTGCAGCTCTAGTGCGACGTAAATTAACAACAACAACAACATTTACTTTAGGGAACACGTGGAAAATTATAATTCTTTTCCTTTTGTAATTCTATCTGAATTTTTGCAAGTTGCAATCGCGCAAACTGGTATTTCGTTTATAGTTTTAAATTTTTGTAATTTACTGCAAAAATCAGAGGAGAGTCATTAGAGAAAACAACGAATGTCTTGGAATATGTCACAAAAAGGAACGCTCCGTTCTTGAAGTAAAAGTGACGCCGTTACATCACTAGAGAAAATCAGAGGCGGCGAGAGTTTCTTCAAAGGAGTGTTTCTTCTATTCTTTTAGCTCTGTGAGGAAGTAGCATCATCTGGGCCCAGCAGTGCGCGGTCAACCATCAACAATTCTAAACATTGTGAGAGAAACTTATCATCACGTGATTTCAGTGACAGCAATCACCGTCTTTAAATGATAACAAAAGTAGGACAAGTTTCGACTTCAACAAATGTGTCATGCTTTCCACTTTAAGTGTGAACTTTCGGACGGAAATTTCTTGAATCGGTGACAATTACTCAATAGTTCAGAGTACAGAGTTCATATATATCTACTAGCTATTTATGAATTTCAAATCTCGATTATTTATAAAAAAATTGAGATAATATTTGTTTATCAGGATTCCCACGGTTCTTAAAAACCCTTGAAAGTTCTTGAATTTAGTTGAAAAAAATCAGGGCCCTGAAAGGTCCTTGAATTCTGCCGTAGGATACTTGAAAAGTACTTGATTTTTTTTAGGATTTAAAATGATACTAATCTTTCTTACAGAAAAAAAAAACAGTAAAAATATAATAACTAAATTCAAAGGAAGATTATAGAAATTCTGATAGATGCAATTTTCAATGCTTGAAGAGTGAAAAGGGGTTAAAGAAGATGCAAAACTTTTCTCTCCTAGATTTTTCACACAAGATTATTATTCATCTCTCTGATGTTTTGAAAGCTGAAATTTCTAGCAAATTTTAGGTTTTGTAATCATAGTTTTTGAATGAAATATAGCGTTTAATCGATTTAGAAATATGTTCCATGGTGTTAACTTCATTATTATGACAGGTTAATAGTGTTATCTTATTTGTTCTTTTGATTTATGTACAAAGGATAACTAATTTTAATTTGTAAAGTCATAAAAAAATAACTATGAGGTTAAATTTAGGATTTTATGTTCCTGAAGCTTATAGATGGCAGCACTTTTTTTACGATTTTTACTCATTTAATGTTTTTCTGTTTTATTTTTTCAAGATTTTCAAAAAA